GTAATGACAGGCTCTGGTGGTAGATTAACATTAGGCAATTTTTCCTTATATAATTGGATCCTGAGGGGAGACTTTAAAAATATTTTTTTTACATTGCTAATTAACGCATTTACGTCTGGAAATTGATTCCTAATGTCCTCTGCTACTCTATTCAAACCATGAGCTAAGCACGCCACATGAATTAAATTGCAATACCTATCAGTAAGTTCGCAATATATCTTCCACAACAATCGGTAGTTTCGTCAACTATTAAATATACGTAGTGGTTTTTGACTACTTCTTTGATAGTCCTAATTATTTTAACATACTCTTCATTTACGTAGCCTTTGCGCAAAGTATTTTCATCCGGTACAGTACGCCCAGAATACTATTCTAAAAATTTTTTTAATTGAGGATTTTGCAATTTTTGATATGGAATGTTGGCTGCCAAGAAGGCTTTGCATAATGCTGCATTAAATATTTGGTGCTCATTTTTGGTTGTTTCTGGTTGAATAGCTTACTTCAAAGATTGTTGGGCCATTTTAGTTTGATTAAGTTGGTGAGTTGGTGGTTTTTTCTTATGTAAATCGGTAGCAACATGTTGCGTGATCCGAGATTTGCGGTCACAAGCAACCTGCAGCAAAAGCTTAAGAGTAAGAAACAAACATTTTGGAATTGACTTTAGCCGTACAAACTTAATTTAATATAAAACCCATGGAATAAAATAGATTAAGAAAAGTATTCAAAATTACAACAACAATCTTAAGGATGACTTAAATAAAAGCATGATTTAAATTACAGGTGTAAATAATGGAAACGTTCAATTGGTCAGTGGTTATAGGAGTACGTTTCCATTATTTACATCCGCAACTACAATTCAAACTGGTAGAATGGATTATAATTTTAATCTAGACTCTATAAAGTGTAATTATTAGTTTTATTTAAATTTACATTGAAAAATATGACAAATATAAACTTACCGTTTTACCACATGCTTTACAAAACACATTTTCTTCCTGCAGAATAAATTCAGGAATTGCTTTTATCCAAGACATCACCAAATAATTTTTCACCTTCGGCATTTTTGAAATACTTAAAAGTTTGTACATACAAAGCAAAAAGTAAAAAGAGATCCGAACAGCTTAAGATCGACTCGTAGAATGATGTGTTTTCAAATAAATTTAACTTCATGGACATCATTTTTTATTGTAGACGCCAGCTACATAAAGACCCGCGTCGGGCCTAAGTCGCCAAAAACGACGGGCCCTCGACGAACGTGCAACGCCCGACAGTGCGTCGCGACGGTTGACCATAATATGAGTTGACCATAATATGAATTAAACCTCAAGTAATAAATAAGGAATCGACGTTGCACTTTCAAAACTTATAATACTGTAAAATATATGAAAATATGTGAAAATATGCAATATATGCAAAAATATGCGAAGAACTTCGAAATATGCCAAATATGTAAAAATTAATAGGCGTCATTCAATTCCTATTCACGTAATTCGTCTAGATCAGAAAACATTTAATCGTACTATCAGCGGTAAATAATATGCAATTTGCATAAATTCCGGACTCTAGTTATCATCAAAACAAATCCGTCCAAAATATATGGAATTTTCTCCGAGCTAAGAAACGTACCACAAGAATAATAATATGTAAATCTATGATAATGAATGACTGAAGAATGACTGTAATCTGATTGATAATGAGAGCAATGTTCTTGCTGATCCTCAAGATATTGTAAATGCTTTTGCTCACATGTTTTCTGCTGTTCAAACTGTATCTACTGACCGAACTTTCACTGAATCTGATTTCAATCTGTTGCCATACTCTTTTCAGCCCATTACAGAAGAGGAGCTAATTAAAAATGGCAACGTTTTCTAATAAGCATACTGCTGGAGATGATTTGTTGCCAAGTTTTATGGTCAGAGACTGCCGTTATATATTTGCTTGCCGTCTTAAATTTATTATGAACTTGTGCATTACGTTCTGTGAATTTCCTGAACGATGAAAACGATCAAGAATTGTGCCTGTTTATAAAAAGGATGATCGTACATCCCTCTCAAACTATAGACCAATTTCGATAATTTCCAATTTTGCTAAACTATTTGAAAAGTTATTATATTCTTTTATGTAGCACACACCCCTTTGTGTCAGCTTCCCACCTTGGTTTTGTTTCCGGTCGCTCTACAATTACCAACTTGGCTACGATTTCCGAGTTTGTCTTTATCACCTTGGAAAGACGTGGGCAAGTTGATGTTGTATACACTGATCTATCCAAAGCCTTTGATCTGATTGACGATGGAATTCTCTTGCGTAAATTGAGCTCTTTGGGATTTGTCCCTTCAGCAATTCAACTTCTGGCCTCTTATTTGCAACATAGAAAATGTTATGTTGACTTACTATTATGACTTACTTCTAAAAATTGATTGTCGGATTTTGGGGTATGCTGATGATATCAAGATCTTTGCCGAAGTCTCATCGGTGGCAGATGCAGATAAGCTGCAGCACAACTTAAACACAATAGTGCAATGGTGTAAGACCTACAAACTTAACCTTAATGTAGATCAATGCTGTGTACTTACTTATAGCCGATGCTCGTCACCATGCATATATCCTTACAATATTGCTGCCAGCATTTTAAGTCGTGTTGAGGAGTACAGGGATTTGGGGGTCCTGTTTGATGCAAGTCTTAATTTTAAACCACATATCAATAATGTGTGTTCTTATTAATGTTGTTATTTAAATATTTCACAATTGTCAGCTTATTAAAGACCTTGTATTGTGCTTACGTTCTGAGTAAGTTAGAATACGCTTCCCTGATTTGGATTCCCTTATATGCGTGTGAGTTCTTAAGCCTTGATCGAGTCCATCGTAGATTCTTAAAATTTCTTTCTTACAAATCTGATGGAATTTACCCTGAGCGAGGTATACCACAAAATGATTTGCTTGCGCGACACAATATAGTTTCCTTGACGGACAGAAGAAACGCGTTTTATGAAAAGTTTCTACAACAGCTTATTGAATATAACATCGATTGCCCTTTCATTCTTGAGCGACTAGGGTTTGTTGTTCCAAGGAGTTACTCAAGATATATCTGCGTATTCAACATTCCTTATGCCAGGACAAACATTATGAGACGTAATATTATTATTATTATTACGACTCGTCATTTAATAACAATAAATTATCTTTTGTGGTTTAGTTGTCATGTTAGTTTTGTTTCTCTCGGTTTCTCTTTCGGTTAAAAGGGGGAGAGGATGGTGACCGCAAAGTCGAATACGCAATAATGCCATAAATGGGGCGTCGCGACGTCGACGGGGGAGGCCCGGGCGTCGGGAACCCCGCTGTGGGCCGCGTGCAAATCTGCAGCCCGGCTGATTCAATTACGATCTTATCTGCAAAATAGATGACAGTTATTTCCATGGCAGGGCGACATCCAGTAAGGGAGCAAGTAGATTGTTCGCGTTCCGCCGCAATTCGCCTTTAACACGGTGCCGTTTTTCATTAAATTCCGTGCGTTACCGAAAGATGACACTCTGATGGCACAACATCCATTTTATCTCTCCGTTTCTAAAATGAACGATACAAAATTTTTTTTATTCATTAGATAACGAACGGAACGATGTCTTTAAAGGCGGTTGTTTTGAGTTGTTTGAGAGAAGGGCAATTCTGTATTCCGCATTATGGAATAAAATGTAAACCTAGAAATTAGTGGACGAAGCCATATTATTGAGGAAAATAAAAAAGTAAAGCCCACTCGAAGCGTAGCATTCCTTGTTAGTTGAAAATTTCGCAATTAAACCCATAATAACCCGTTAACGAAGGGTTTTGGGGGTGGTGGTCGAGAAACGGAGGACGGGGTTCACTGCTAGGACTTTTAATAAAAGTTCCTCGATAAAACGCGCTGTTTACTTGAATTCCTCCGCTCCGTTTGATTTAATTAATAAAGTTTTCCGCCGTAAAATCGCACATAAATAACTTCTTTTCTATTGCAATAAAACCGGGAGACCTTTTCCAACGTAAAAGCATCAAATCAAAAAATAATACGGTAACAAAGAGCTCGCCCAAAATTTTTCACACAAAGGAACCACCAACGAGGCAACAAGTTTTTTTTTTAAACTCGTTAAAACATTTAGAATTAAGTACGTTTGTTAAGTAATACAATTGAGAATTTTTACGGTAAATTTTCATAACACAATTTGGAGTTAAATAAAAATTTACGGCCGCTTTTCGTGCAATCCCAAACTATTTCTCCCAACTTTAATGCACTTTTAAATTTACACACTCCGACGCTAAAGTGCTCAAATGGATGTTTAAAAACGCACTTACTAAAAACTACATTAAAAAAAATATCAAAAAAAATTATCAATAACTTTTTGACTAGACTTTTATAAAATTTCTCTCCGAGTTAAAATGTGTGAAGGCACTTTGAGTTTAAATTTATAATAAAAACGTACGGGTTCGCTGAGACCCATTAGTATAAGTAAAATGCATTTCATGTATTTTTTGTCGCCCTCGGTCCTATCATCAATTCATTTAATGTACGCGGGGGGCCTCGCGAACACTGCCCCCTTTTTAGCCGACGTTACTACTACCGTATCGAATGCATCAATTAATTTTTCAGTTGGACCGTTTTTTAACACACAAAACTCTCGACGATAAAATTTACTACATTTTTTTTGTTTGATTTTTTGGGTTTTTTTAAACCGACCCGATGGTAACACAGTTTTGCTTTTTACTCCGGGTCTTGTGCCAATCGCTTTATGCACAGGTTAGGTTTGAGGGATCACCGTTACGGTTAAATATTTAAACGGTGGTAAGTGGCATGTCTGGTTTACTCCGAATCTGTCAATTATTCGATTTCGGATGTGCTTTAGATGACGACTTTTGACATATTACAAGAGGGGTTTATAACAGACATGCACTAATTATAATAGATAATATCTCACTAAAATTCATTTTAATAAATTGATCTTAGTTGGATTTGAATAATTATTTTTGACATTTTTCATTCTTACATCAATCTTAAGACATTTTACAAATTTTCTTTTAAAAATGCAGAACGAGCAAAACGAAGAGGAAGGTGTTGTTACCGAAAATGAAACCTCACACGCTAAAGGGTGATTGTAATAATATTCATCGACATATAAGTATCATTTTAATTTTTAGACCTACTATGAAATGGGATTTACTTAATTCAGAATTTATGTACTACAGTTCAGTTTTAAAAGTGGTAGCTCCGGCTGTATCATCTGATTTGGAACGGCAAAAAATTTTACCTTGGGTTCAAAAACTTTTCAGACCTGAATACCAAACATCTCCATTAAGAGAAAAACGAAATAAGTAAAAACCCAAATAAACTTTTTTTCCTTCATCACGAAACCATATTTATGTTTCTAGATATTTATTAGCATTAACCTTAACAATCTTAAGTGACGAACTGTTTGGAATATTCGCTGATGCACCACCTGACCTTCTTCCTGAACTAGGAGAGTTCGACTACGAACCGGTTCCCGCTGCAGAGTGGGAAATTGACTCAATGTGGCCTGAGACTTTAGCAAATCTTCCCGAAGATTTCAAAAAATTAGATTGTTCCGTTCACTCAAGTAGAGCAGAATGCGACAAAGACCATAAGTTAGATAAAATCTTAGACCAAGAGTTCCAATTTTTGCTTTACTTAACAAAACCGTACGCCGCCCTTCTTGAAGGTAGATACGAAAGCACGCGAGTTGCCACGTGGGTGCAAACTCTTTGTACGATCCATGATGAGTCATGTTCAAGCATGAGAGGAATCCGAAACGATTATATCATGGCTTTGTTGGGATATCTTCACGATTTGAGACTGATCGGTCCTTTTGCTGAGTACCCTCCTTGGAGAACACTTCGTCCTTTAGCAGAAGCTGCTAAATTGGCTTGCGAACATAAACCTGTTACCGATCCTACAAGTCCTGATGCTTCAGAATTTTTAGCACATCAACCGATTCCCAGCGAGGGTGCATTTTGTTATATTGCTATAACTGGTGATCTTATTAAAAGTAGTTTTGATGGCTCTGCTATATAATTTTTTATGATAATTTTTGATGTAAAAGATAAATTGTGTATTATAATTAAATTTTTTTATTATATATGTTGGTATATAATGATTACTACCCATTTCAGATTAATATAAAAAATTAGATCATGCATGCAACACAAAATCTGAAAAGTGAAATATTTATTTATATTTAATATTTAAACACATGTCTAATTTAGTGTAGATACGATTAATATCGAAGAACATCTTGAGTTGATAGATAAGCAAAAGTCTTCTGGCAGTCCCAATGCAACATTACTAAAGTATTGCCCAAATGGTGCAAATAAGCATTTCTGACTGAAATACGATTCCATAATTTGACATGGGCGACTAAAATATCGGGTTTCCAACCACTCAGGAATACTTGTTAGAATAAATCTCGTAAGAACTCGTAAATTTGAATAAACCTTAATTAGATCTAACAGATAGAGAATTTAATTCTTTACAGATATGAACTAAATATATGCCTTATATCTGTTATGTATGATTTTGCTAAATTCAGGCCGTTTAATATGAATTTGTTGAGAATGTAATAATCTATCTGATGGATTAATCAAATATAACCAATGACATTGCATTTGGAAATGTAAGATATGTAATTATGCCATGTTTTATCTTTCTAACCAGACTGAGACTGAGAAATTCTGATTTAAAGACCACCGTGATGATTACTAAACAAGTTCTAGTCTGCTCCCGGTAGACCAAAATTGGAGGGTAACATCAAAATATTTTGTATCAAAACGTTAACATATACAACCCCTACCGACTATTAAATATTTGTGTGTAATACTCATACAAAGTAAAAGGCATCGCTAAAAGTCGAAAAAATGTCGCGTTGCATATTAATAAGATGAATAAATTATTATTAATTGCGAAATGTGTGGCCAGCGAGGTTTTAATAAAAATGCGTTAGCAATGCAGAAGGGGACCACTTTTTGATATACAGTTTTGATTTCAGTTATTCAATATAACTGTAAATTTATAATAAATGAATAGTGCTAAATGGAATTAAGTTTTATCTTTTATTTTAAACCAAAATCCAAAACGTGATACGAAGACTCTGCCACCATCAACAAAAAATGGAACAAAAAGAAAAGAGTAAGAAAAATCCCAACAATGTCAAAAGCTATAAACTAGTAACCAAAAAACGAAGAGAAATGGAAAGATTTGTGGAGATAAATCAATACCATTCCAAAGGGCAAAACGAAACAGTCACACAAAAGTCAAACAAAACGAACAGCCATACAGAAAGAAACGTCAAGACCTGATCGCTTTGGGGTCCATGAAGAGGCTTAAAGATTAGTGACGTGCATTAATATGCTGATGTTTTTGTCTCGTTGCATACCGCGAATCATTTCCAAAATCTACCAGTTGAAGTTAAGGTACTTAAAATTAATAAAATAAAGTTGAAGAACCGACAATGGACGAAGAAAACACGAACGCTGAATGTTCCTGGTCATCCATATGTGCAATGTAAGTTGCGCACAGAAGTGTAAGGAAAGAACTAAGAACTATGATGGTATGGACACTTTGTCCGTATAAGAAAAGAAACATAACATCGAAAAATTGTTGATGCGATGCCAAAAAACAAAGGAAAATGGGTGACTCCGAATCATATGACCTAATAATAAAACACAGTTGACTAATAAGCGAGAAAAACAAATTGAGTAAGTCAAGATATAGACAAAGCGGAATTACAAGTGCAGGAGGTAGGTCGAGGAATGGGGAGACCCAAGCGTTGAGGTTCAGGACATGAATATCATTCTATTCATAAACAACAAAGCAGAAACCACTATTAGTGATAACTACATCTATCATCAGTTAACCAGGAGGTATAGAAACAAAAAGAGAAGTATAAGAGAAGAACTAAACTAAAAATTAGCAAGTCTAAGGTAAAAGTAGTTAGGCCAAAGGGGAGACCCCGAATCACTTGGGAGGATAAAATAAAGAAGCTGGCAACTAAGCGAGTGAAAAATCGGGAAAGTGAGGCAACTACATACATGCTTATATTTTATTTATAAAAAAGTTTCTATTTGTACGTACTTCTCCTTTTTTCCAATTTCAACGTCACTTTCTATATTATGCTAATCATAATTAATATATCAACATAAAATTGAAAAGCAGCTGCAGAAAGCTTGCAGAATAGAAGAGATACCAACATATTTGGAAATAAATATCTGTGTTGTCATAGACAACAAAGGAGAAGCTATTAGTGGTCAGGATTGAAGAACAAGATTAAAAACCAATAGTACAAAAAGCAGAAACTACAGGAGATAAATCAAGGACCTAACTGAGGATGGACGTGTATTTTACATATATAGGAGTTTTCAATAAGGTCGTAACAAATTTATATTTAAATAAAACACAGAATAATTAAGTTATTGGTCTGAAATGTATTCCAAGTGCAAAGAATGGCGATCAATTCTTTGCGCCCAATTTGGTATCACTCTTTGACACATATCGGCCGAAACATTAGAAATTCTGCATTCGATATTCTCCTCGAGCTCTTCTAACGTTATTGGCTTGTTGGGATAAACCAACGTCTTAACTTTTATGTGGTTTTAACATAACCGCATAAAAAAATCTGAAGACATTAAATTGCATGACCAAGATGACCTTGTTGGAACTATGTATCACTGTTGTCAAGCCCAGAATAATGAACATGGCGATGAAAATGACGAACTACAGTAACCGTAACATGACAAACATTTTTATTTATTGTATCGTCCTTACGAGAGTACTGAGAGTAACTATCAGAGAGTCCCCACTAACTTTCGGAGAGTGAACAAGTTGAGACTCGTACTCAAGTGGACACACACAATTACTCTCAGTTCATTCTTACACAGTTAGTCTCACGATAAATAACGCGAGAGTAACTGTCAAAAAACGAACACGGTTCGAATTCTGCTGCGAGTTTTCTCAATATAACACGTTTAAAGATGACGCCTAAAAGAAAATGGTCCCAAGAAGAAATATATGAATCAATTGAAGTGTATGAAGAAAATTCAGTTCTTAGGAATATAAAATCTAAAGAACATAGAAATTGTGAAGCGCGTGTAGTCTTCTGTAAGAGCATCTAACAATATCTAGTCTTCTACCAACAGTATTTGGTCTTCTGATAGTAGTGTGAAGTCTTCTGTAAGAGAAGAATCTGCTTCATTTGCAACATCTAGTTTTTCATTAGTAATACTTAGTCTTCTGCCAGCAATATCCAGTCTCTTTCAGCAATTGAGGCGTTTAAGTTTATATTTTCTAATAATTTTCCAAAATACTGCCAAGCCACCATTAAGGTATCAGCTGCACGACAATAAACTTATAGTTTGCATTTATAAGTACCATTAAAGCAATCGACTTCACTTTTTTGTGAATCCAGTATGCCAAATAACTAACAATTTGATAATGAATGTTGATATTTGTTGACACCCAGCTCTAATCTACGCCAAATACATGGTTTCACCCAACAGCTTCTTTTTATTTTTTTCTGTTTGTTTTTTTTTAGTTTTGTACAACACTATGCAATTTTTTTTTACATCCATATTTACACACACCAAACACTGAAAGAAAATAAATTTTACTTTCCATAGCACGGACACATTTCACTAGTGGACACGGTACTGAGAGAATTGTCTGAGAGAAAGCTCTAGGAAGTTTTATAGAAGCTCTCGGAGAGCTAAAACAGTCTCAAGTGGACAGACAGATGAGAGTAGATATCGAGAGTTACTCTCAGAGGTTTCTCTCAAGAGGACACTTAGCCAAGAATTTGTTAAAGTACGTGGGGTTGCGTTATTACACAGTAATAATAACGTATATATTCCTCATTGAAAAAGCCATTATGCCAAAAATTAGCTTCATCGCGGAAAATAATTTTTGATGAAATTCATGATTTTCGTTTAACTTAAGTAGAACCCCATTATGAGAACTTTCGTCACTTCAAATGATCAAAACACTTCAATTTTTGTATTAATTTAATGTTGAGAGATTGAGACATTCCCAATTTCAGTGAACGGCATGAATTGACTGATTTGTTTTATTTTAAACTGAAGTACTTTCAACTGCAATAATTTCAGTACTTCGACCCCTGTGTTGTTTTGTTAGCAAGAACATCTAATAGTGAATACCTCAACTCAAATTTATCCACTTTAACACTCACGGTCTACCTAGCAGGATGATTATTGTCACTGAAAATTGGCCACAAAATTGGCCACACTGGCACTTTTAACAATTTTAATGTAATTTCCGCACCTTTACATTTAAAAAGACATTTACTAAATTATTAGGTAAAGTTAATTTTCAAAAGGATTTATTTTAAATATATCTATGATTTCCTTTCTTGTGTGAAAAATAAATTATGTACAATAATAAGTTTACGTGTGTATCATTATATATGTACATTCTGTACGTAAGATGTACATCATCGTAATTCCGCAACAATGTTTTCAATATCAATATATGGGGAACTGCGGGCTGTTGGAAAATTGGTTTATGGAAACGAGTCCCAGCGCAGTAATTTCCCCCGGAAGCTCTCAGACACACCTGTACCACACTCCTCGTAATTACCAAGGGTGCCACATCCTTCCTTTTCCGCATATACTAATATATACGTCATTCTACGCAACCCCTAAAATGTCTTTTTTCCATTACCTAATTCTCTGCTGCGACGTTTTTCTTATATATTTATTATCATTTTTGGCTCTTTTGAAACTAATTCAATTTCTATTTTTTGGGGAGAGGAGAAGACAAATTTTATCGGAATAGAAAACTGGACTGTACAAGCTGGATTTCGAAGTTACTTTCCTCATGACTTCAGGCTAAGTGGTTTCATTCTCCGAACTACGTTGAATATTTATCAGAAACCGAATTTCTTTCGTTTCCGCATGACCGCAACGCGGGCGAACTTTGTCGACGCTAGTCATAAATTTTACATAATACCCAAAACTCCCCTTTATACAATTTTGTGTATTTATTCTTGGATATATGTTTTTTGAATT